AGCGGATCTGTGGCCGACAAGGATGACGTCCAACTGGTTGGTCAACATACCCAATATCTAGGTGATGTGGTCCCTGCGACGTAACAATGGGACGTAAGACGGCGCAGTCAATTCAGCCATGGAAGCACTGTCGACTTTTTTTGACCGAATGCGTGGACTTCGTTTGGTTATCCGCTTTCGCCGATAGTGGGCAAGAGAGTATCGGTTTTTTTGAGATCTACTCAATTTAGTCAAGGCGATTATCAAGGCGACGTCGTAAAACGCGTTAGGCATGGTGTTCTGCGTATGGGTTCCTGGGGTGTGGATGCGGTTATTTGGAATTCGGTTCTTGATCTGTCGGACGGTCGACTTCGAGGTCACCAAATCGACTTCGAGGTCACCAAATTGACAAACCTTGAAGTCGGTAGCGTGCAGTGAGTTTAGGTAGTTATGTAAATTTGTTTATGCCTTTCGGTGTACCCTTTGTCGGCGGAGCGCGTGGACCGCGAATTCTAAAAATGAGAGTGTCTTTAGGAGTCTATACCACCGTTGTTAGCAGCCATACCACCACGAGCACCCTTCTGGAACCCACCAATGCAGCCCTCTCAGGCCGAACTCTATCAAACGACTGTTGACCAGTTCTATGCGAGGAACGCCTTAGGAAGCGTGGACCAGTCAGTTAATCCGCCAGTAGTACTGCGTCCTCGCGCCAACGGCGGGCGTGCAGCACCTTTCGATCACAGAGTGTTTGCGCCCGGTGCAGGCGAAGCGTCTGCACCTATCGACGTCGACGAGTGGGACGCGCTTGCCGCGATTGACGTGGATGCCAGCTCGGAGCCCGGTCAGTGCATGTGCCCTGTTGACGTACAGTTCATGGAGTTGAATCCTAGCCATCGAAGCCAGTGGTGGTTCCGTCGCCAAAGCAGTGCGTCGGGTGGGGTGTGTGGAAGAAATGAAAAAGCGCTTCATGTGCGGTATCTGCCAAGACACATATAGCCGTCCCGTAGTGTGTGTATTGCAAACGTTATGGCGATTCAGACTGTTCACGAGCGCCGTATTAGCACGCTCTGCATGCATGTCTTCTGCGACGCATGCATTAGCCACAGTCTTGCTTACTCGACTTCGTGCCCATTGTGTCGTTCCGCCATTGTGGATCCGCCGTTGCGAGACCATCTGTTTGAGGAAGAATTAGAGGCCGCCATCGACGGGGGCATCGTGCAGATGTCCGGCGCTGTGGGAAGAAGGAAGCCATACACGTGGAGAATGTAGACATTACTTCCGTAATTAACATTGTTCACGCTGTGTACCATTGTGGGTCCCAAACTACATACCAGTACTTCAACAACTCGTCTAATCTGTTCCCGTGTGTCGTCAAAACGTTATGTGTGCTCTCGGGCGGTCCTGCAAGGCGATTATGCTCCAGACACTGGAATGTTCTTTGGTATACGCAGTCTTACAGATGGTAAGAGCGCTTACGGTTTCATAAGGTCAACAAGTCGCGGAGCGTCCTCTAGAGCCAAGTCGACGATTTCTCCGTCAATTTCTAGCATTACGAGGACATCGCCGTGGATTGGACGAGGCTGGATGATGTCGCCAAGAGCTACATTCACCGGGCCGACAGCATGTGCGGAAGCCATGAACAGTAGGAGACCACGAAACTTGTACGCCAGCGTCGCAAAATCCGTAGTTCCGCCGACCATCTCATAAGGCGGCCACCATTTGGCCAAAGGCAGGGCTCCAGGCATCCGGCGCGTGATCCAAGTGTAGGTGCGTAAGTCATCTGGAGATCTATAATCTTCAAGTCCATGATCCAATGGGACAGGCACCACAAAGGGCGTTCGACAGGATGTCGCAAACAGTAAACCCTTGTATATGCTTGCGAACGGCTGGTACAGGTCAGTTCAGCAGGAACATTGGTCAGGTTGACTACGTACCGGCTGGCAGGTCCGTATTGCCTCCGCTGTCCTGAGTATCCAGTCTTCTTTCGGGTTGCAGGAAAGCAGGATGCCGGGGGAAAAGGCAGGGTGGACGTTGCGCGGAAACAGGAAAGTGACGCAGTCAATGTTCTCGCACGTACACCATGTCCAGCCAAACGCATATTCTGGCGCTGAAAACCCGTTGTAGGCGTCCACGGCCACGCGGTCGCGCCACTCCTCTTTCACTCGGCCGTGTTGGTCTGTGGATTGGATACTATGTGGCAGCCTCCACTGCAAAAGACCGACCCCCCGTCCGCCTCGCAACCGCCGCAGGAGCCCTGGACAGGAGGATCGGCAAGGAGAAGGTTCCCGAGTCAGATAACCCGAGTGCCCACCCATGTTCCGGGCTGTTTCAGCGTCGGACAGGCTCACAATCACTCCCATTCGGCCTCCGAGTGTTCTCCAAAGGGACAACTTATGTATGCACTCGAATGCATGCAGTGCAATGACGGTCGAGCTCATCACGAGTATGGTGTTCATGGTATGCGCCGCCGCAGTTAAATGTTGAAAGACCGTTTTATCAGCAGTTTCCGTCACGGTAATTTGTCGCGTCCCCGCTTTTGAAAATCGCCAACTGCGGCCGACGTAGCGCGGGGTGGCAGGGTGGGCATCCACGGCGCGCGAGATGTAAGGGCGGGTCGGCGATATCTGGCGCATTCGGCTCTCCAGGGTGTCCTCCGTCCATCCACGCTGTACAAGAAACCTTCGGATGAGGTGGTCGCCACGGTGGGCGATGACGATGTTTATGTTCCGGGGGGACCAAACCGCGCGGACCTGGGTAACCCAAACGGCGGCAGAGCCGGTGATACCACCACGTCCAGCATTGAGGGCACGCCAGAATTCGTCGATGTCCGTCGAGTCCAGGAAATGTTTTAATAGGCGTTGGCATCGGAGCTGCAGCACACTTTGAACAATGTGCCTAGATTTTTGGCAAGTGTGTGCATATGAGATGAGGTCGCGGAATTCAACGTCCGTCAAGAACAGGATCTCAACCTCGGGAGGTACGTCGGCGTACATAGCGGCTGGTGAAGAGCTTCGCTTGACAAGGTGCGTGTTTCCATGTGATTACATGTCCGAGTCGACTAAGTCTAAACTACCTCTCCCAAAATTGACGCAAAGCTTATTTTTGCACTCCTCACTAATCCTCCACTGCAGTCTTTCTTTCTCAAACGGGACATTCAGTTCTTTCTCAGACCAAGCGAACACACCGACTCCTTTCAGACCTTCCACCTGACGCCAAGTCCGCGGACAGTAATGTGCGCAGTCCCCACCGTCGCCAATAGTGGGGTACAGTGCTGTGTCCAAAGGCGGTTCACCTCCAGAAAACTCATGGTACTCCGTGAAGTCGTTAATGTAGGCTGTCCACCCCAGAAGCCCTTCGCCCCCGGTGGTTATAAGGGGACACATGGATATGAGGTGGGATGAAGTGAGTGCATTCATTTGTGACGTTGTTCTTGACGTCAAGAGCGCCGGAAGCACCGACTGCGACCGCGTGCAAGACACAGTCACCGTCTGGATGTCCTGTCCAAGCATATATATATGTATCCCTGTCAGAACCACTCGAAAAGAACAATATCGCACCGTTTCGGGATGCTTGAACGCGTACAACGCGGATAAGATACCACAGTGTTCTGAGCGACCGTAGAAATTAATGGGGGACCTTAACGGTGAGTCATCGTTATGGCGAACTGAATGCAGCGCTAGGCAAAAACTGACTCTTTCAAATTAAAGCCTTGTCGCAGCAGGCGCAAACACCGTGCGAGCTTCGGCTCGGCAACTAATATGTTCAAGTCTCGACCTTGGTGGCTGTCGTCGCTGTTCGCCGTGAGGAGTATGAGGCCCTGAACGACGGACCCGACAATGCAGCCTCCATCACCGTCGAGCACGTCGATCAATGCCTGTGTCATGGCCGCGCGTGCGCTCGGAGGGGTGCCTTGGACGCAGAGTTTAGGGGACACCCGGTTGACGATCCTTTCCCACAGGACCTCTCTTGCACAAGAGCGAACGAAACGGTTTACATGAGACATCGACACGAAATCCGCAAAGCCGCAGTGTCTCAAGATTGCGCTCGTAGCATCCTGGTGAGTGAAGAGCATGTTCATGTGATTGTTAGTGTACTCCGGCTGTTTCTTAACGGCACCGCACCAGAATTTACCCCACGTATCTCAAAACCGGTCCGATGTTCTAGCATTGTGCACGATGGTTCTGTGTACGGACGATAGTCGTATTGATAGTGCAGTATGCGATATTACAAACACGGTAGTTCTACAAGCGCGGACACCCGACTAGCCTCTCTTCAACCAGCCTGACGGACCGTCAATCAGAACATCCAGAGGATTGGCCTACAGAATCACACGAACCTCTTCACGATAGCTGTCGCTAGGTTCAAATCTTCAGAATTCATATTTGCTAACCCATTATTTACTCCGTGTTTAATAACCAAGACGTTGCCTCTGAAAGGGTTCATAGATCCCTCAGACTCGGAACCGAAGTGGTCATTTAAGGGCTGAAGGTCTTCGTGAGTGTGGTGCTGTTCTGGCTTCGTTTGCGGCGCTACGCATACGGTGAACGGGTGTGGCAGCGGTTCCATGGATTCAAAGGGCCAATGCGTGATCTTCAGTCGCGTCACAGATAGATCAACTATGCCCGAGGCTGCACCGAGCCCGGATGGTATCCACCAGCTGGTGTCGAGGTCGTCGGGCGAAGTAGGTACAGCTGAAGGCTGGCAAGGAGGAACCGGCACGAAAGAAGGCTCTTGGGACCCAGCTCCCCAAAGCAGCCCGATGACAAGACATTCAGGGGTCTGATAGCAGAGTACCATCAGCAAACTATGTCAGCCATAGAGTGGAGTCCTCTTACGGGTGTTTTGGACAACATGTCGGTACGAATGTGTTCTTGGACATGGTCGGTGTACTCGATGATCATAACGAGACAAGCGAAAAGACAACGTACGGTGCCGCATACCTAACCATAACCCTAGAGTGTCTGTGTTCCCCTCCATAGTCGTGCAAGTTCAGGTTGATAGTATGCACAGCCGACCTCGATGGTTCTATTGGCTAATGGTTAAGCAGTCGTCTGTAAGTAAGTTCTCATGGGCATAGAACGACGAATATGCTGGTTCGAATCTAGCTAGAACCTTCATAGGAATCCTATGGTTTTTGACCTTCGCCGTGCCTTGTTGCCAGTCGTTGTGGTAGTAAAGAGTTTTTTTTTTTTGCAGGTGCGATTCCGACAATGAAAGTTCCCACTAGCATGGCATGGGTTCTAGGAGAGTATATTAAAAGAGGGGCGCTGCAGGTAAATGCGTTCGTCATATTTAAAGATCATCAAAATCCGGCGAGTTCGGGCAGAACTGGTTGAGGCAGCGCCCACCCAAGGTGAAGGTCAGTCGTGTATGGCCAATGTCGACCAACGCGCTGTCAGTCTCTTCGTCTCTACCATCCACCCCACCCCATTTAATGTGAGCGAACCCCTTTAACCCTGTAGCGGCCCTCCAAATCGCGGGGCAAGAGTACCCGCACGGCTTTCCCCAGTTGGCCGTAGAGTGTTCTAACGTCGTCGCGTCTGGGAAGGGAGGAACCAAGCGATAAGTACGGTCGCGTTGAGGAGGAAGCACGCTGGGATGGCTGCGAGACGTAGGCCTGCAACCGATGAGGTGACGTTGTTCAGCGACGTTGTGTAACACAGGCGTGATAAGCTCGTGGCCTGCAATTGCGATCATTTGGTCCGTGTTTGGAGACATGAAGAACAAAGGCCCTAGTGTTCCATGCCAGGCCGACGTTATGCTAATGTGTTTTCCCTGTTCGCAACACATCAGCAGCTTTCGTGGACTAGAAACGGTGCTCACATTGACTAAGGGATGTTTCATCCACACCAGCCGACCAGCATTCGCGTATGCCCCCGAGCCCCACTCAGCACCGAGGCGTACAAAACCAGCCTCTTTTTCGAAGAACTTCACCAGCATTGCTAGTTGTCGACCCGTAGTGATGATGTTCATATTAGAGGGGCAGGGTGCGTCAGACAGCGTCGATGCGGCCGCCAACGCGACGGAGCCGACGATCCAGCTTCGTGTGACGTGGAGAGCAAGGAAAAAGCGATGGAGGATAGAGTAGTTGTCGGCCGCCCACGGCTGAGCGTCCAGTTTGGGGGGGAAGAAAGACGAAGTGTACCGGGTGACGCGACCTTTGAGGTAGACCTTAACGTAGCCTTTGGTGCGTTGATTCAGGTGCGAAAAGTGTACAAGTTCGAGAAGATTTAGGAAGCGTAGCATGTAGAGTACCACGTCTCGTGTAGTCCAGAAGGCGTGCATTACCCCAGGCTGAGGGTAGTTTCGCGGTCGTAGCACTCGATTGCTTTTCGAGGTCATGAAACGTCAGGTTGGCCTGCACTTAGAACTCATCGCTGGGCTTTATAGAACGAAAGGGAGTAATCATTGCATCAAACTGCTTCTAGCGAGACTACGGCATGGTCGACTCAGCGTGGACGACTCCCTTCCTAAATACTCTGATGATGGGGTCAGCGGAATTCCATCCGGCCTTAGCGAAAGGGGACAAACGTAGGTATGACCCATTCCACACCCGTACAACTTCTTTCATCTTCGATGTTGATAACAAAACGAGCCGTTGATTTGCTGTGGCGAAAGATGAGCACGTTACCGCGCCAAGGTTTCTCCAGTTCTGGTACGAGCTTGTTAATCAAGTGATTTTCCGGATGGACGTTGGGGCCTTTTGTGTGCTGGGGCGCGACCACAATGGTGTACGAGTGTGCGAGGTCGCGCGGCTCGTCCAGAGGAAATCTATTGATTTGGAAGCTACGGCCAGTGAGATCCGACGTCGCTGAACCCGCCCCACGGGAGGCATCGATCCAGATGTCGGTGTTGAGATCATCGATAGTGAGGGCGCGGCGTAATCCAGTGTGCACAGGTACCCTGACCCATACCCAATCAGTCATGGAACGACCGTCGGGGATAAGGATGGCTCTCGCAGTTTTGGAATCGCCCTGTGCAAGCGGGTCAGTGTGGTACAACAGCCTTGCAGTCAAGGAGTGCAAACCGTCTTTGCAAGTTCAATCTCCTGCCGTGTCCACTGGACGAATGCCCAGTGCATTTCGGGCAGTTTCGTGGTGGGACGCGGCGGTGGTTTTCGCACTGCTGTTGGGAGAGTGGCCATTTACCCGTGAAGTTTTTTTGGTTTTGTTGGTGGCTGACGCGCTCCGCTATTTATGGCTGCTGGACCCTTCGTCAGATGAAACGAGGTCGCGCGTGTCGGCGGTGCTCTTGTGGCACCTGAGAGGCTTACTTGCTGTTGATCACATACTAGGCACGAGAACTGGACGACAACCCAATTGGAATACGGGCACAGGAGCGCATTAGGCGTAAGGGAAATGGTCAGGATCTGTCGTGTGTTACACTGTAAAAGGCAAGTGGCGGCTGCTGTTTCTGGCGCGTGGGAAGGATACGTTAGAGGAAGGGTTTGTTACGTTAGAGGAAGGGTTTGTTATGCGTTAACGCTGAGTCAAGCGTTCCAGCATTCCTAATCGAGCAATGCAACGCTACAGTCTCAACGGGGTAAACAAAAATCGGAGATCTTCAAAGGATGGTTTCGAGAATTCAGTTACGCGAAAAAGCGTGCTCTAAACATTGTGGACTAAAACGAGTACATCCCCGTTGCAATGTCTGAGTTAAACGAAAATCGGAGATCTCCAAACGGTGGTTCCGAAGATTCAGCTATGCGAAAAAGCATGGTCTAAACATTGTTGACTAAAACGAGCACATCCCCGTTGCAATGTCTGAGTTAAACGAAAATCGGAGATCTCCAAACGGTGGTGTCAAGGATTAAGCTACGCGTCAAAGCACGCTCTAAACACAGTTGACTAAAAACAGCACATCCCCGTTCCACTTTCTGACACTCGGAACATCCCCGTATACCGCCGGATAATGCGAGCGTCCTCTCAAGGACCAGTGTCGGTGAGTCGACGTGTCGGGCCATGGAACATTCGGCAGCGCGTGCGGGTGCGACCGTAGTGGGCGAAAAGACGGTCGAGATAGCGTAGTGTTTCTTGGGGAAGGGGTGTATGGATGGCGTATGGCAAGGCTGCAATGTGGGAAGTTAAAGTCGATAACTGTGGTCAGAAAGATAGAGCGCACGTGTAGGGCGAGATGTGTATTCGTTGTCAATGAGCAGTAGCATGGGCAGGTGCAATAACCCTAAGCACTGAATCTGGGCGTGAATAGTTCTATCCGCGAGGAGTACAAAGCGGACGGCGTAGTTTTGGCCTCGAGCGCGGAAGTAGTAAATCATAAGTGAACTGCGGGTAATGCGTTAAAAAGTTGGTCGCTCTTATTAAAGGCTTTTGCTACGCGAATGTGTTAGAGGCCATGTATCAATTTCCTAAAGCGGAAGACAACCGCGTATAAGAACGAACTTTGCACGGCTGTTTGCAGTATGTTCCGTCAACCCGCACCAACCCTAATCAGGCCTGAGTTCCAGGTGCCGAAGTTCCTTGGCCACCCAGAGTGGCCTGAGGGGCTGAAGTCGTTTGACGACCTCTCTGCGTATTTGCTAACCAAGAAGTATGGGTCAACTGTTGCACTCGGAATTCATTGGTACGACGTGGATTTTTATCCTGGCTGCCGCCCTAGCAAACTGGCGTCCCGCGACGAAGGGACGGCCGACGAAGCTCCTGGCGACCAGGTCCGCACCGAATCCACCAGCGAAGTGGGCCGCGACGAGGGTGCTGGCGAATTGGCCTCCGACGACCCGGCGTACGACATATCCGTCTACGACGAATCCGTTTATACGACCGATGACCCCAGAGTCCCGTATGTCTTTATGCTCTTTGGCATGGTGTGCACACCGCTTGTGAGTCTAGTTGGCTGTGAAACTGTGTATCAGAGCATGACTGTGCCCAAGCAATGCCAGAATTCGCACTGTACCTTCGTTTTAAAAGGTGGCGATAGACTTCCGGAGGATTTGAAAAAAGCCTTTGCTCACCAGGTCCGGCAACTGGCGAGACTACCTGTGGAGGAGGCCAGCGATTTCCCTGTAAGTTAAGTGCACTTTGACCTCGTTATTTCTAACGGCTTTACCAGAACACTTCAGCTGTGCCGTGCACGGGCACAAAGGGCGATGCCATCTTCGTCCACACAGACCATATGAACCTATCGCCCGCCCTTCTGTTCAAGTACGTCGACGGTGAGCTGGAGCGGTTCCGCACCGGTCCCGGCTGTTTTCCCGTGGACGTTGGAGAGTGGGTCCTTATCCAAGCTACACTCCATCGTCGTCGATACTCCTCCGGCGCGAGGAAGAACGAAGTCCTGAAGTACGAAGTCCTGGCGCGTCATATCAAGGTCCTTGGGACGACTGCTGCGTTACTCGCCGCGCGTGCTGACGAGGCAGTCGAGTCTGGAATCGTGCACGCAGCTCAAGGTGCGGCAGGTGGTGAGCATGGCGTAGATCAGCGTGCGTCAACCAACTCGGCACCCACGCATGGAGCGGCCATCCTTGGGGAGGGGCCTCGATCGGTGGTGGCGAATCCGGATGTGCCAGCCACGGGTGCAGCGGAGAATAGTCCAGACCCCACTACACCCAAGAAACGGACGAGAAAGACTCACAGTCCTCCAGCGGTGCTCAGAAGGTCGCTGCGTAAGGCTTCCACGGCGATGGCGAAGGGTGATGCGCATGACGGAGGTGATGATGTCGTCGAAGGAGGCAGTCCTCCCAAGCGCGCGCGTCGCGGTAGAAAAGACGTTATCTGAGTTGTTACCAGATGTTCTCGAGTACCATAAAATTGTCGCGTTTTCGAGATGTTTTTTGAATGGGTCGTCGTTCAGGTTTTGTCGAACGAGGTGCACAGACGGTGTAGCGACGAACAAGTTGCATAGACGGTGTAGGGACAAGAGCAACAAAGAAAACTTAATCGACGTGTTGATTGGCATCAGATCTGACTCCTTCCTCACTGCACTCGCGAGCATAAATATACGTACCTACAGCGTTACCTATGCGCCTTGGACTCTCAGCGAGTACCCCATCCAGTAACTTGAGCAACGTTACCACTGTTGCAGTCTTGCCGCGTACTTGTGATGCAGTGGTGATGTGGCCCTCTCCCAAATACACTCGGCATTTCCCAGAACAGTTTTT